GCAGCGGCAAGTACCTGGCGTCATGCGCCGACGACCGTACAGTCCGGCTATGGAGCACCCGGGACTTCACGGCGCGCGAGCACCGCTGTCTGCGCACCAACGTGGGGCTGGACCACGCTGAGTTTGTCCGCCTCAGCCCCGACTCGCGGTAGGGCCAGGCCTCCCCGCACCTCATCCATCCTGGGCCCAGGGACCACCTGGGGCATCGCGGCGCGATGACATCCTGCGGTGTGGGCTGTGCGGAGGGTATGTCCCTCCCAGGGTTTTGGTAGCACCACTGATGGATGAAAGCAGCATGCACTTCAGTGTGGCCCTTGGCAAATATTCCAGTGCCCAGCTTGCTAACCCCGTGGAAAGTGCTTGTTAAGGTCTTTGCCAGCAGGCCCTGCGGCTGGGTTGAGCTGCTGAGCATTTCTGGTGGGCTGGGGAGACAGCTATTGCTGTCTGGGAAGGTTGGTCGAAAAGCATGCCACTTTGCAAAGTGGACTCTTAGAGGAAGGAATCTCATTTCCAGATGTGGAGGAATAAATTCAGTTCTTTTCCATTCAGTGTTGCAGCTGAACTAATACAGGCAGGGAACTTGATATCCTCATAAAACATACAGCTTTATATCTGCCAGTGTATCCCCTTCCCAAGGTGCCATTGAATGACCTGTTAGTTTAGCTGTTGTAGCTAGGCTGAACTGAGGTAGCCTGTTTCTTAATGGCTCAGTGTCTCACCTTCCACAGGGCATTCATTGTTTGGCTGGCGAATGGTGAGACTATTCGTGTCTATAAAATGACTAAGAAGGATGATGGCAGCTTCACCTTCACTGCAGCTTCTGGGGACTTCCCAAAGAAGCACAAGGCGCCTGTCATTAACATAGGAATTGCAGAGACAGGTATGGAAATGACCAGCTCACTTGCTGAGGTTCTCCAGGCTTTGATTTCCTTGTAAAGCAAGAGCTGCTGGATTGAGTGTGTTAGGAGTTTCTGGCATTCTCAAGGCCCATTTCTGCATTTGTACTTGATTCTCTAGTCTCTTAGATGTTACTTTTTCGCCTTTTTTTACTACTGAGTAAACTAAAGTTGTAACTTTCAGACAGATGATATTTCTGTCTGCACAGAATTAGCTCCCCAGTATGCACAGTCTCTTAATTTGCATTTTCAGGGATGCTGTTGCAAAGAGGTGTGGTCTCAGTGTTGAGAGGATTGCTGTTTTCTGTCCCACCAGTCTGTCTTTAACCAGTCATAAATCTCTCTAGTGAGTTCATATGGTCGATCTTGGACTTCTGGGATCTTCTAAAACAGAGGCTGGGGTGGAGGGGGGAGGTGGTATGTGTTAGTGGTGTGGGCATTATGGATTAATGTGACAGTGGGCGAGTGGATGTGAGTTCACGTCTGTAAGAGAAGAGCAGAGAATATGTTAAGAGACCTTTGTTCAGCTGTGAAAGTGAAAACAAATGTGCAACATGTAGCTGAAAGGTGAACACGCGACTCCCTGTCCAGGCTGAGATGGAGAAGGGGAAGGCATTGCAAGTGGAGGCAAGCAGGAGTCCAAAATGTTGACACAACCAGTCATGGCTAATAGCAGTGTGACGTGTAGTCAGCTGCCTGCCTGCAATCCATGACTTGAAAGTTAAGGATCCCTCAGGTTGTGTTTTAACCATCTGGGGAACATGAAGTCTACCGTGTTACTCCTGTAGTACCAGCTCAGTGCTGAGCTCGTGGGATCTGAGGGGTGCTGGGGTGAGAAGCACGCGTGGGCTCTGAGTGCCCGTCACCAGCCAGCTGCTGCTGAACCTAGGGGTGTGCTAATGCACGACCAGGAGCTGAGTCTTCTACTATTGCCCTTTGCTCTGTGCTGGGAGATTGACACTGCCTGAGTTTTGGTGCTGCTTTTGGTTTTTATGACTGTCCAGGGGGAGGGAGAGGTTGCCCTGCTTAGGGACCCTCCCAGGCCTTTGAGAAGTCTGTGGCAGCTTTAGGCCTGGGAGCTCTCCTGATCTCTGCCTTTTTTCCCCAGGAAAGTTTATCATGACAGCTTCCAGTGACACAACCATTCTGATATGGAGCCCAAAGGGTGAAGTCCTGGCCAGCATTAACACTAACCAGATGAACAATGCCTATGCCACGGTGTCACCCTGCGGAAGGTGAGGGACGTGAGGTATCCCAGGCTGCTCCTGCTGTGGAGTGGGAGTCTGCATGAGCAAACAGGAACCTCGCTCCTTCACAGAGGATGTCATCAGTTCAGACCGTAGGCGATTAGTCATTATTTTACGAGGGTTCCACATTTGAAAAAGCAGTTCTGGACCCCAAGAGCAGCGCCTCCAGGAGCATTCACTCTTGCCTGTGAAGTCTCAGACATGCTGCAGGTTACTGTTGTGCCTCAGCACTGCTGTTCCTGTTAACAGTCTTGTGAAGAGCCAAGGAGAACAGCATTGGCCTCAGGCAGTGAAGGTGGGACAACACATACGGCACGTGCAAAGCAAACAGCATTTCTAGCTCATTTTTGACATTTTAAAGGATAATTATGAAATTAAAATCATTATTACTGAGTGGTTGTCAGGAAAATCATGTTCTCTGCTCTGTCTCTAACTTTTTGCTGTGGGAAGACCTCCCATGCTCCAAGCCCGGTGAGTTTGGGGTTCAAAAGCACTTTTTTAAAAATGATATTTTGACCTGGGAGTTTCTCATGCCTGAGTTGTGGAGTGGCTGCTCCGGTCCTTGGTGGCCTTCCTTGGTGTTCCCTTTACCAGCCTGGTTTTGGTGAAAAGTGAAAACTTTTTCAGCTGACAGGAGTAAAGATTTGCACCCAGGTGACAGGTTTGCCTTCACAGGGCCCTGTCTTGGGCACCTCTTGGCGCAGGACGGCTGCCCCTGGCCCCTGCCTTGCTTGGAAGGCCGGAGGAGAGCTCTGTAGGGCTGGCCCCACAGCCCAGCTTGAGGGTGCTCTGTAACAGATACCTTGTGTCTTCCACCCAGGTTTGTGGGATCCTGTGGCTTCACCCCTGATGTAAAGGTGTGGGAGGTGTGTTTTGGCAAGAACGGAGACTTCCGGGAGGTGGCCAGGGCTTTTGAGTTGAAAGGCCACAGCGCTGGCATGCATTCCTTCTCCTTCTCCAATGACTCGAGGAGGTAAGTGCGTGTTACCTGCTGCCTGAAATGGTCTCAGCCCAGGGGCTGCACCCCTGCACGGTGTGGGGGATCCCTGCCCCGCGTGTTTTCCTGGGAGTCGGGGCAGCAAAACCCTGACTGCTGGGGCCACCTGCATGTTTCCTGTGGGTTTTCTCCTCGGGTGACTGTTCTCTGTCCTCTGGAAAGAGGAGGAGGACCGTAGGTGTGTATGGACAGACACTTCTGGAGAGAGCTCACTGGCCATGAAGGATTCCGGGTTTGCAGGCGTGGCCGGGAAGAGGTGCTGCTCCATTTCCCTGCACTGGCCTGTGCTCTGTCTCCTGGCTGCAGGATGGCGACACTGTCGAAGGACGGGACATGGAAGTTCTGGGACACTGACGTGGAATATAAGAAGCAACAGGATCCATACCTGCTTCTGACCGGGAAGTGTGAGGTGGTGGAGCCTTGTCGCATTGTCCTGTCCCCTGACGCTCACGTTGTCGCCATTTCCAGCGGCACAGACATCGTTGTGTACAACACGAGAAGAGGAGAGGAGGAGGAGCGCTTTCTGGGTGTGCACGGGCAGTGCATAACGGACGTGGCTTTTGACACCAGTTGCCGCTACCTGGTGTCGTGTGGAGACCGGGCCATCCGTGTCTTCCACAATGCCGCTGGTCACAGGGCAGTGGTGGAGGAGATGGAGACCATGCTGAAAAAAACTGGGAGCAAAGCCACCCGAGAGAGGCTGGAGCAGCAGATCCGCAGCGCGCGCAAAGCGCTGGATGCAATCTACAGGAAGAAGCAGTAATCCTCCCCCCCAGTGGCGTGTCCTGGCTCCGTACAGCCACAGGCAGCTGTGTTCTGCTTTGGGGGATTTTTTTTATAACAATACAACTAGTAATAAAGGAGCATGCGGAGTGCGTGCGCAGGTCCTTCCTTGCGTGCTTTTCTGACCGTCGTCATGGAGAGCTGGAGGGTGCGTCTGCCTGGAGAAGGCAGGGGACGATCGAGGGCTTTCCGAGGTGACGCTGTTGTCTTGTTTCTGTCCAAGGGCTTGTCCCCACCTGCTCTTTCAGGGGGTTGATTGGTCAGATGTGGCCAGCAAGCTTTTCTGGGCTTAGAAAAGGGGCTTGTGTGGAGTTGTTTTTGCAGAGGAGCTCGATCTGTGCAGCTAAACGAGGGGGTTTCTCCTGCACGGGAGCTGGCAGCGCTTTAATGACGATGCTGCCTGCAGACAGGGCTCTTTCCATCCGGGTCGGGGAGTCGAGGTGGTGCAGAACTGCCCTGGGCGAGGCCCGGCGGCCTCTAGTCCCGCTCCCGTGTGTGCCCGCTGGCGCTGGGCGGGGCTTGTCCCAACGGAAGATGGCGGCGAAGGCGTCGCCCCGCCTTCGCGCCGCCTCGTT